CATTTAGCACATGAAATCTATCATCCCCTGAATGTTAGGAATTCAAAATTACAACTTGCTTAGCACATGTGAAAGGTAATGCCTCCTGTTGCACATTAATTTGCGTTGTGTCAGTTCATTTCTCTGTAATTATCAAATTGTAAAATATGTATAATCAAGAGATAGTTACAATAGTATTAAAGGCTTGTCTTGTGTAAGATATTCAAATTAATCTTTAAAACCATATAATCCTGCAGTGTACAAGTTTACTATAGAGTTTGGAATTTTAGGGGCACCTGGGTGGCTCAGTGGGTTAAAGCCTCTGCCTTCGGCTTAGGTCATGATCTCAGGGTCCTAGGATCGAGCCCTGCATCAGGCTCTCTGCTCAGCAGGGAGCCTGCTTCCCTTCCTCTCTCTCTGCCTGCCTCTCTGCCTACTTGTGACCTCTGTCTGTCAAATAAATAAATAAAATCTTTAAAAAAAAAGAATTTAACAGTCCCTGTGCAGAAAGATTATTGGACTAACAATATTTTAGTTGCCTGCTCTATACAGATATTATTTTAGCAATAAGGAAAGAGGTGCCTGGCTCCTCAGTCAGTAGAATATGAGACTCTTGATTTTGGGGTTGTGAGTTCAAGCCCAATATTGGATGTAGATATTCCTTACGATATAATCTTTAAAAAGAGAGAGAGAAGGAAAGACTGTTCAAAGAGACTAGAAATTATAGTCTTCACTATTTAAATGAAATAAGATATGCCACATAAAGATTTTAGAACCCAATGAAGCAAAAAGCAGAGATAAAATGGCAGTGACAATTTCACGTGAAATTTTGAGCCAAGTGAACGTCAGTGACAAGCTTGACTTAGTAGTACATGTCTCCTGTCAAAAAGTTTTGATATTGTGTTACAGGAAGAATGTAAATTGGTCCTGAGAGCAGTTAAAACAAGCTGAAAGACTCAAGATATGCCTTGTGTGTGAGAACACACACGTTTGTTTGACTAGCACAAAGATTGTGCTGTCAGTTAGCAAAGGACACTATTGACCCTCTGTTTTTAACTTTAAGTTAATAAAAGGCTGCTTAGCATAATAAAGAAAGAGACAGGAATCAAAATCCTTTCTCCATTCACTCAAGTAGATTACTTTTCCTACCTCAGGTTAGGAATAAGAACACCAGTCTCATGGTGCGGTTATGAGGCTTAACAGTGCTAACCTATGTACAATTCTTGGCACATTAATGGGCTCTAAACAAATATTAGTCCTTTCCCCTTTATAGGTCACATACAACACTATGCTGTGCGACCAGGAAATGCATTAAGTGTCCTTATTTCCATTAAAGATCATATACAACATACAATCAAAAAGTTGATTCGACTTGAAGTAACCCTTATTTTGGGTGGTCAGCAATTGTCTTTGAACATGATTTCTCCTAGTGCTCAGGGATCTGAAACAGTTCAAGGGTCCACTAGAACTTTGGCCTCTATTATTCCTGAATGGTATGACTATGAAATGGTTGTGGTAACAGGAATGGTTCTTCAGAATTGTTCACAGAAAAAGGCACAACAGAGGGGAAGTGCTGGATTAGATGAGAAATTATCAGGAAGCTAAGGACCTTAAGTCCCAGAGACCCTCACCTGTACAAGCCCCTTCTTAGGCCTTGTATTTAACTTGTACAGTTGGCTCTTGAACAACATAGGTTTGAACTGTGCAGATTCACTGTAAATGTATTTTTTCTTTCTTGTGATTTTCTTAGTAACATTTTCTCTTCTATAGCTTACTTTATTGTAAGAATACAGCATATAATATATAAAATATATAAAAAATGTGTTAATCAACTGTTTATGTTATCAGTAAGATTTTTGGTCAACAGTAGGCTATTAGCAAATTTTGGAGGGAGTCAAAAGTTACAGGCAGATTTTTACTGCAGGGGGGTCATTGCCCCAACCTTCCTGTTGTTCAAGGGTCAACTGTACTTGTAATTTACATTCTTCTCCTTTAAGAGGGCCCCTCAAATTGGATAATCTTCAGGTCCCACAAAATCTGGATTCACTCTTACTGGACTGTCAGGTAAAAGAAAAAAAATTAATATAATTTAAAAAGATGAAGTGGCCAATAGCAGGAAAAACAAGTTTTGCTTCTATTGGCCCATAAGGATTTGTTAGTAACCCTGGACCAGAGATGTTCATATGCACCTGACCACAAACTAGTCCTTGCCTAGGAAGGCACTCTCTAGTTTAGCATCAACCAAGAATTACCCATATGAAAACATAGGAATGGGGACCACCCAGCGGTCAGAGGGTGTGCAGTTACATTTATCAGGCATTGGATTTCTCACATTTTTAGGTGGGAAAAGGGAAAGGGATAGATGGAATCAATATTATATTGATCTGACTCAGTAAGTGCCCAACAATGGGTTAGGCACCATATATATGTTATCACATTTTTTTTCTCATGTAAGTAACATTATCTAAATCAAAGCAAGAAGTAACCTCTTTCTATATAGCTTGTGGAGCCAGAATTCAAACACAGGGCTTCGTGAAGTCAAAGCTCAGATTTTTTCTTCCTCCCTATGAGTTAAGGCTTACCTGCCAAGAGTCAGCCACTGGGAGGGAAATGACATTTAACCTATAATCAGCCTAATGATCTTCAGTACCGAATGTCCTGCCAACCACTTAGGACACTTTTCTTTCTCAGTTCATTCAGTTATCATTTATTAAGTGCCTGCTATGGTGGCAGTCATTGTGCTGCCCTTTGTTTAGTTATTACTTCTTCAAACTAGTCATCGTCACCTAGAAACTCTCCAGTAGGTAGATTGGTAGGTAGGTAGGTAGGTAGGTAGATGGATGGATGGATGGTAGTAGATAAACAGGTAGATAGATGGATGGTAGGTAGGTAGGTAGGTAGATGGATGGATGGTAGGTGGATGGATGGATAGATGGATAGAGGATGGATTCACAAATATGTGTATTATCAAATGAAACTTTCACCATTACTATGATTACTATGTACTGTTATTTTAAAAGCACCCTCAGAAGTCCTTCTAAAAATTCATATTGTTCTTTTAAATTGAAGTTCAAAATTTTGGTTATTGAATCACTAAAACTGAAATACTGCATATGATTTAGAGTTAGCAATTTCAAAATTTTTCTTTTCAAAAACTATGAAATAAGGTCATATTTTGTAATGGATAACTTTCTTTATCTCCCAACTTTGAAATTTCTTTTTTCACATTAAACATCTCTTTTTCCTGGATGATTTGATCTCATTTCCATAATTGTTGAGAAGCTTTTGCAAAATATAAATATATAACTGTACTATTGAAGTTCAGGGAACTACCTTGTGTATCAGGGGAAGGAGAGTAGGATTTTAAATGAAATGTGTAGAGTTGGGGGAACCTGGCTGGCTCAGGTGGTAGAGCATATAACTCCCGAGGTCATGAGTTCAATCCCCACGCTGGGTGTAGAATTTACTCTTTTAAAATTGTGGCAAGTTGTGGACTGCAACCAGGGCTTCACTAAAAAGAGGCAACCAGTGGTGGGTTTGACTCACATGTTGTAAAATTCCCAATTACATTAAATACTCGCTGACACACTCATCCCCAAGCAAAGTCATGGGTAGAAATTACAATAGTCAGAAAGGTACTGGGGACATTTTGAATACATTTTCTAAGCAAAGAACTAATATATAAATAATAAATATATAAATAAACAAGAATGAGTGGGATGTGACTTGAATGTAACAAATGCCTATTCTGTAGTGAAATGGGAAGACTATTTCTGGTGATCCTGTTTTAACCTAACATAAGGGTTAGACAGTGTAACCAAATCTTTTTCTTTTTTTATGAAGTAATGTTAAGTTCTCTTCCATGGTAATTCACCCAATAAAGGGTGCATATACTTGAATGAAAGATGGCCCCAGTTTACATACAGTGTCCATAAAGATTCTGAGCCAAGTATCCAGTTATGTCTCAAGGAATAATATCTTTTTTTTTTAAGATTTTATTTATTTGACAGAGAGACACAGAGAGATTGAGAGAGAGATAGAGCCTGCACACAAGCAGGGGGAGTGGGAGAGGGAGAAACAGACTCCCCACTGAGCAGGGAGCCCAACGTGGGGCTTGATCCCAGGACTCTGGGATCATGACCCGAGCCAAAAGCAGACGCTTAATGACTGAGCCACCCAGGTGCCCCAAGGAATATATCTTTATTGTAACATGGTCCCAGTGCTTGAGACAGTGACCCCCCCCCCCATGCTGGGTACCTGGTAGTTACATTATGGGTGAAGCTCTGTTTACATGTAACTTGACTGCAACAATAGAGGAAAACGCTGAGTTTAACAGAAGGCGTTGTATAAACAGTCCCAAAAACATACTTGCGAATGACATTAGAATTGGAAACTGAAATGTTATTGTGAATACACTTACAGCTGCTATCATTTTCTTCCCCAAAGAAGGACTCCTACTCAGGGTGCCTGACTGGTTCAGTCCATAGAGCATGTGACTCTTGATCTCAAGGGGTTGTGAGTTTGAGCCCCATGTTGGGTGTACAGTTTACTTAGAAATAAAATTTTTTGAAAAAAGAAAGATTTCTGTGCCTTTCTAATTATGCACACAGAGTTTTACATGATCCTTTCTTTTAAGGAATATTCTTCATCTCTTCTCATTCCTCAAATCACCTCATTCTTGTTGATCATAGCATAAACAAAATACACTTTCACAGCATTTTAAATTGCCTCCTAACCACTGAGTTAGGTGTATGTCTAGAGAGATAAGTGGGTTTTCTTTGGGATGTGCCTGTTTATAAGTTGGCCAAAATGAGCCAACAGCTTGAGTACCTGAAATGTTACTGAGATTTATACATTAGAGTATCTGATACAAACACAATCTTGCACAGTGTAATTGTAAGTAAACTGTTGTGGAAGGCTTTTGTTTTGGTGGAAATTGTTTGTTCGATAACACTTGCCAGATTTCACTTGTAAAAATATATAATAACTTTTTCCTGTCTTTTCCTCTGTCGTCAATACAGATCCACATCCAGAGAACTGAAGGTTGTGACCATATGACCTGCTCACAATGTAACACTAATTTTTGTTATCGATGTGGGGAAAGATACCGCCAACTCCGTTTTTTTGGAGACCACACATCAAACCTCAGTATATTTGGCTGCAAATATCGCTACCTCCCAGAGAGACCTCATCTAAGGAGATTAGTGCGAGGGTCAGTCTGTGGTGAGTATCTGACATGCTTTATAGGAATGTTTTCTGGGAAGTAAGCGATGATAAGAGAATTCAGATGTATTAGCCATGATAATTCTGAGCACCTGCCAAGTATTCTAGTGGGGACTTTACCCAAAAACAGGAGGAAGATATTTTCTCTACTTTTGAGTTTGGAATGGAAATTTAAATTTGGTGGCTAGACACAACTTATACGAGCAAGCAGATTTTGTTTGAAAAACAAATTATTTATTATACTGCAGAAATATAAATTCATATTTTAAATTTCTGAAACCTTATTGTAAGCCACTTGATGAGAGGGACCATGTCACATTTATTTTTCTGTTGACAATACCTAGCAACTTGTTATACACATATACTCCATTCATGGAGGACATGCAATACAGTTTTTGAAAATCCCTTTGGGGCACCAGGGTGGCTCAGCTGGTTAAGCCTTGGACTCTTGATTTTGGCTCAGGTCATGATCTCAGGGTGGTGAGATCAAGCCTGCTTAGGATTCTCTGTTCTCCCTCTTCCTCTGCACCCCTCTCCCTGCTCTCTAGTGCATGTGAGTCTCTCCTGCCCCACCTCTCAATCAATCAATAAAATTTAAAACTAAAATAAATAAAAATCCCCATGTTTCAGAGCCTTGTGCTGGATTCTTATTGTATCTATATAGTCAATGCCGTTGTATGTGTGTTCCTATTGTAATAATAGTTAATATAATAGCTAACAGTTAATGAAGTGAGTATCAAATGCCCTCATTACATACAAACCCAAGTTTAAATATCCAAATGTGATGCCTTTATGCTTTAAGTTTTTACCCCCTTCTTTGTCCTCAACAACACATGGTCTCATACACAAATATGCAAACATAAACCCAGATTTCCTGCTCTGGGCTGATGCCACCACCTTTGTGTGATAAGAGTTCTTCTGACTTGATACGTCTTCCTCCATTAGCTCCCTACTTCTCTAGAATGTATCCACTGTGAGGTTTCTTCTCTCTATTCCATTACACAAAACTTCAATACTTCCTCCTCTGAGAGTCTTTCTCATATATGTGCAAACATCTTCCACATTTCCCATTTTCTGCCTACTTTTGCCTAGTTACTTCATGAAAATCTCTTTTTATCTCTCTTTAAGCCTCCATCACTTTATTATTATTGTAGACCTCTCACCTTACTAGAATCATATGATGGTGAATCAGAACAAAGCTGGTGCTAATGGTGCATTTCTTTTAGGTAAAAGATAGAACATATATTTTAAAATTCATCTTACCTTATGGAAACTAGTGCCATCATTTTCTAAAATCTTGTATGATCTCTATGAAAATATCCTTGTTGACCTTTAATTAAATGTAATTGCTCACAACCAATAGCATTTAATATAGTCAAGATTGGTTTTAATGATTTTCAATGTTTTCCTGTTTACTTGCTTGTAGTATATATATTTGCTGTTTATTTGCTTGTATGTATTATAATTGTATGCCCAATATTTACTTATTAAATAGAGTTTGGAGGGATATCTAGGGAATCTAATGCCTATTTATAACATTACTACCATGAGGATACTAAATTGCAAATTAAGTTTTGAGCTATAACCTATTTGTAAGGCTATATACAGAGAACAAACAAAAAAATCAAAATTCTTTTATTTTCTGTATTACTAGTTTTTTTCCTACTTCAATGACATTTTGTGATAAGATGTTTCCTTCCATTTTTTATTTTAATAATCTCTTATTTGATCATCATTTTTCCCTTTTTGTTATTTGGTTTAATCACTCTTAAATAAGGGAAGTTATTTCTTGCCTTTTTTGTCCCGTAATATTTTGGATACATTCTCTTTGGGTCATCTTATTTGCCTGGAGGCCACTAGAATCCTCTTCTTGGGTCATAAAATAGGAGTTGAGTTATTTAATGGCCTATAAAATGCACAGCCAGTGAACATTGTCAAGAGGGAATATCTTCTCTGCACAGTTTCTTCTGTTTTTATTTAAAATTTTATGGTCAGCTTTCTGTAAATGGTTTCCTTTGGGGCCTCTTTTCTACTGTGTGTGTGCATGCACCTGTGTGTCGGGACAAACCTGACAAGTAGGGAGCAGCTGGCTTTCCGAGAAGCTCTCCCTCCCACACCTGCTTTCCCACCTCCCGTATGGCTGTCTCTAACTGCTGTTGGACCATAACTCCAAATAAGGTGGTCCACTCCTCTCCCAGCCACACAAAAGGCTGGAAAAGGAATGACTCTGTAAGTCACAAACTTAGCTTCTCCCTGCCATATAAGAGAGAAGGTGGCTGATAGCAAAGCCCTAATAAAGTGTAGGCGCTTTGTTTTCATGGGACATAACCCAGTTTGCTCCCTCCATTTGGGACTGCAGCCTCCACATGTCCTTGGACAGAGGCAGAGAAAGTGCCTGCTCTGCTCTCACAGCTGGAAGATGGGAAACATGGTTTGTATTCCATGTGACTGTGTGCCCACCTATCATCAGAGGTTCTACTCCTAAAGAACAAGGGAGAACAGAGATTTGAGGATGGGTTTAGCAGCTTCTGATATGGGGGTATCCCCCTGGTGGGAGTAGGCAGATTATTCAATGAATGGTGTTGAGAATAAAAGTGATGGAGAAGTACTGAATTCTCATACCATTACATACAGATGCTCAAAGTGTTATGTTAAAGGGTATAATAGGAAAGAAAATTTAGGTCTTTAACTGATTTCTAAGTGGCAGATAGTTTATATGAACAAAAGCACTAGAGTCTCCTCCGAAAATAAATATCCAATTTTTTTTAAAATAATGAAGTCTGGAACCAAAATTGAAAAAATGCAAGTAGCCAATAAATATTTTTTAAAATATTCAATGCTATTAGTAGGCAGAGAAATGTAAATTAAAAAGTTTTCTTGAACTATTGATTAGCAAACTTTTTTGTTAATACTCAATGCTGGACTTTCATACCCTACTGAATGAATTAGAAATTCTGTGCAATTCTTTGGCAAAGAAATTGGATAGTAAGGTGAAGGATATTTTAAAATATGATAAATCTAGGGGTGCCTGGTGGCTCAGTGGGTTAAAGCCTCTGCCTTCAGCTCAGGTCATGATCCCAGGGTCCTGGGATCAAGCCCCACATTGGGCTCTCTGCTCTGAGGGGAGCCTGCTTTCTCCTCTCTCTCTGCCTGCCTCTCTGCCTATTTGTGATCTCTGTCTGTCAAGTAAATAAATAAAATCTTTTAAAAAAATGATAAATCTAGACTGACAGTGGCTTATTTGCAGGTATATTTTAAAATAGCAAAGAAAAGGAACAAAATTAAATACATGAATACTTAAGTAAGATATATATGGATATAATAGAATATTATTTCAGCTATTGAGAATAGTATTTTAAATGAATTGTTAATAATCTAGGAATAAAAGATGTGCTTAATTCCTCAAAACAGTTTCAAAAGTAAAATTAAACATGTATTATACATTGATTATATGATTGGAATAAGTTTATTACTTCCCAAAGAAAAAGCTCATTGGTTCTTTGAGTTTTCTGATACTTAGAGAAAAAAAAAAAATTAGTGCTGTTACTCTGCAATCATGTTTCATTATTATTATTAAAATATATTAATTATTTTAAAAGGAAACATGAATGATTATACTGAGCAATGGGTACAGGAAAAAACAGATTTTTTTAAAAATATGCAGACCAGGGGCTCCTGGGTGGCTCAGTTGGTTAAGCATCCAACTCTTGGTTTCAGCTCAGGTCATGATCTCAGGGTCCTGGGATCGAGCCCTGAGGTGGGCTCCCCGCTCAACAGGGAGTCTACTTGTCTCCATCTCTCTCTGCCCCTCCCTGTTCTCTCTGTCTCTCTCTAGAATAAATAAATAAACCTCTTAAAAAATAAAAATAAAATATCCAGGCCAATATATTCTAAAACTCTCTTAAGCACAGCTTTTAAGAATGTAAAAAATGTCATTGTTCAATAAGATTTCATATTACTGAGGTGCCTGGGTGGCTCAGTCAATTAAGTGTATGTCTCCAGCTCGGGTCATGTTCTCAGAGTCCTGGCATTAAGCCCTGCATAAGGCTCCCTGCTCCATGGGGAGCAGGGAGCCTGCTTCGCCCTCTCGCTCTGCCTGCTGCTCCCTGTTCTTGTGGTCTCTCTCTCTCCCTGTTAAATGAATAAATAAAATCTTTTGAAAAAAAAGAGTTCATAATACTTAACTGGATTCTGTCATTGGCAAAAAATATAAATAAATCCCATGGTTAGACATTTAAATAGTCATCTTTTTAAATTAGATATTAAAGACTATTTTCTAGCTGTCTGGTCATGATTCCAAAGACCATTCCTTAAACATAAAAAAATTAATACTTTTCTGACAAACTTCCAACAAATGACAGCATTATGTTTCTTTTTTTTTTTTTAATGTAATTGCTTATTCCAAATTACTGTCCTTAATTGTAGAACGCTGTTGCTGGTGTATCCTTAAATGGCAAAGCCCTTCCATCCTTCTCATCTCTTGTTGTGTTTGAATGGTGCGGCTGTTCACATGCCTTAAGGTCAAGGTTACTATATGATGACAAGATACTAACTACTATCCTCTTTCTGTGTGTGCTGTGCCTTTCAAAGTGAGTGGAATTCTGACTGTGAACTCTGTGCCCTGTTTACATGAAACCAGCATTTAGTATAATCGCTCCTCAGCTATTTATTCAGAAAAAAAAGTTCTGGTTGATGCCATCCTTTGGCCACCTGACCAGCACATAGCTTTCTTATAAGTGCTTTCTTTTATTTTTCTCACATTTTATTTTTTCCATGAGACCAATGCAGACCTTCCAATTTATGTTTTAATTTTTTTTTTTTTACTCTAGTTGACATGCAATATTACATTAGTTTTGGGTATACAATACAGTGATTCAATTTCTCTGTACATTATGCTGTGCTCCCCACATGGATAGCTACCATCTGCCACCATACGCCATTACAATATCACCGCCTATATTCCCTATGCTATGCCTTTTATCCCAGTAACTTAATTCATTCCATAATTGGAAGCCTATATTGCCCTCTCCCCTTCACCCATTTTGTCCATCTCCCTTACCCCCCCCCCCGGCAGTATCAGTTTTTTCTCTGAATTTATTAAAATGATTCATTTGAATAACCTTAAATATACTGTATGTTTATTGGTAATTTTTTCCAATAATATTTATCTATTTCTATTTTTAAAGATATTTATTTATTTATTTATTTATTTATTAAGAGAGCAAGAGCAGGGGCGCCTGGGTGGCTCAGTGGTTAAAGCCTCTGCCTTCGGCTCAGGTCATGATCCCAGGGTCCTGGGATCAAGCCCCACATCAGGCTCCCTACTCAGCAGGGAGCCTGCTTCCTCTTCTCTCTCTGCCTGCCTCTCTGCCTACTTGTGATCTCTGTCCATCAAATAAATAAATAAAATCTTTAAAAAAGAGAGAGAGAGAGCGAGAGCACTGACAGGGGGAGAGAGTGCGGGAGAGAGAGAATCCTCAAGCAGATTCCTGGCTGTGCACAGAGCTGGATGTGGGGCTGGATTCCAGGACCCTGAGATGATGACCTGGGCTGAAATCAAGAGTCAGATGCTTAACCAACTGAGCCACCAGGCGCTCCATAACAATATTTAAGCATCCCAGTTGTAGTTCAGCTGGTTAGGTCTTCATATTATTACTCTTCTTTGGGCCCAGGAAGTAAGTAAATCACTTTTTCAGATATGGGCTTAGATGTAAGCCGTCTATAGCACCTATTAGCTTTCCATTTTGTGAGCTAATTAGATTTTCTTCTGCCAACTCAGAGTCTGTCACTCCCTTATTAATCTTTCAGAATCTTGAAAAATGACAGAGATCTAAAGGAAAAGCACCAAGATGAATGGTCCTGGTAGAATAAAGTGAACCACTAACACTGGAATTTTATTGGTTAGGAAGTTTAAATGATTTATGAAATGTTTGACTAATGTCCCCAGGACTTCTGTGGAGTTACTGAATTTACATAAGTATATTTGTTCTACACCTGATCCATTTCCTAAGAGAAATATTGCCTTCATTATAATCACACTTCTTAAAAAACAATGTACACTGTGGTATTAAAAAGCATTGCTGAAATTGTTTGATAAATTAGTTTTAAGACTCTAAATGGTCTTGCCTTTTGTTTTCCAGCTGGAAAATTATTCGTTGCACCTCTAATCCTGGTCTTGGGATTAGCACTAGGGGCCATAGCAGTTGTAATCGGTAAGAAGCACTTAACATATCTGAGATTAGAATCTTTTGAGTGCTGTAGAGAAAATATGAGTGTAAATGTAGTAACATGAGTCAGTTACTAAGTGGACATATCCGTTCCATTCTTGCTTTAGATGAGCAATCAGCACGTGATTTATGGATTCAGAAGGTCTATTTCATATAGGATGTATTTGTGTGACACTTTTGCAGTCTGTAAAGACTTTGATTCATTTATCTTATAAAGCATTATTAATTCCCTTTTAATATGAAAGTTAATACAACAAGTAGTTTAATGATAGAGTCTAATGGACTGGAACCCAGATTTTCTGATTCTGAGTTTAGGTTGGACCACCAAGAAAAAAGACTCCGGTATACCCTTGTATAATTGGTTTGTTCTAGTGAAAGTGTACCCTGGGTAAAAAAGATACCTTCAACATGAATAGGAACTTATACCTAACATATACTTCAGCACTGGCAAACAGAAAATGTATGAGTGATTCTGTATAGTTTCCTTCATACAAGTCTACTGAAATATGTGTTTTAAAACAGTGGTTCTCATACTCCAGCATGTTGTAGAATAACCTTGAGGACTGGTTAAAACACAGGTTCCTGGTTTCTACTCTCAGTTTCTGACCCATATAGGGGCAGGGCCCATGGATTTCCAGTTCTAAGAAGTTCCCAGGTGATACTCATGCCACTGGTCCAGGGACCCCAGACTTTGAGAACCATTGCTTTAGAGAATTTTGAATTAAACACTATAGATAAAGATTGCTTTGATGACTGTTCCACATAATAGGTAGGATTACTTTTTCTTTTCTAAATAAAATAAATTTTTGTATGTAAATTTCTATTGAGCAAGTAATTTACATGTACAGGACAGATAAAATTATAAAGTAACTGACATTTAAGTTCTTACAATTTAGGAAGTATTTTAGGAAGTAGATACTGTTATTATTTACATTTTACTATGGAGAAAATAAGGCTTACTAGGACCTCATATGTATCAGAAGAGGGACTTGAACCTGGCATTTGGCTCTACAGCCCATGTTCCTAAGTAATGTGCTGTCCTGCCCGAGACTGAAGTATCCCATCAGGGTGCAAATGGTACGACTAGGGATAATAAAGAAGATCAACCTAAGACTGTGTATTTTGATAGAAGAATGATTCTATATTCAAACTGGTGTCAGAGAGGTTGTTCAAAGGGGGAGAGAACTCCAGAAAACTAACATGGAATGACATCTTATAGGAGTAAATCCATTTCATAGTGTAGGTGTCTCCCCGCCTTCATCCACACGTTTTGCTAAGTAGCAATCATTTGTAAATGACTGCAAAATGAAAAATGGAAAATGGAAACTTTTCAAATATATAGACCTAAATGCCTCTCCTCCTAATTACCTTTCATCTTTTTTTATCCTCAGGTTTATTTGTATTTCCTATCTATTGCCTTTGTAAAAAACAGAGAAAGCGATCACGGACAGGAATGCACTGGTAAAATGCGGATGATTTCGTGGAACGAAGCCGGTCCGGGTAGGAGCCACACAGAATGGCACACTCATCTGAGACTCATGTCTTGAAAAACACTGAGTCCTGTCCCGTCCCCCGCCCCGCCCTGCCCCGTGGTTGTCTGCAGGCCACAGTGCCTCTCGCTCCAGTGCACTCCCTCCATGGTATCCTGACTCCTTTCCTTATACAGTTTGCTGCTTTTCATAAATGGTCACTTTCATAGACTATAAATATCTGTATCATAACTCTGACCTTCTTACTGGTTCTTGGAAGAAAATATTTTCATTAAGAACCAGGTATCCTCAGAATTGTCTGAGCATGCCTCTCCTGAGTGTTGTTTGGACAGTCTTTGTACCTAAACCTCCTTCCAGGCCCTCTTCTGAGACTTGGTGTGAATAGCGGAAATCATCCCACCTGTACAAACAAGCAAGGCCACTCTTCAGAAGACAGAGGCTCACCATATGCACCTGTTTTTATCTGTGGCCCGAGCAGTATAATTCCTTCATCCTTCGGATGCTTTAATTGTTAAAAATCTCACTGCTCAAAAGGGAACTAGTGAAACAAAACTAATGAGAAGAATCATGAGTTACTGACGTGTATCTGTGCAGGGGTGTGCGTGTGTGTGTATAAGTATCTGTATTAAAACTAGGTCCAATAATCTTGTACTTGTCGAGTTCTATGCCTCTACGCTATTTTTCCGCATTTTCATAGACATATTTAAAGATGATCGTTCCTTTCTGGGCGTATTTTGGTAATGTACTGAATTAAAGCCAATGTAGACAACAGGCTATTTTGATGTTGGCCCTTTCGATTCCTTGCTGTCTCTCTGTCTCACACACAGGCACACACACCAGAAATTTGTGCAAGGTCACCTCGAGGATCATCAAACTTTATTAAGTGACGAAACTGGTAGGCTGCTCAAGACCAGACATTTAGTCTTTTCAGATTTTTTATGTTTTGGCATCCATGTTTTACTAAATGAACAAATCCTTCAGACGGGACTAGTTAATTTAAAAAACAAATTTGCTGTAGCAAGAACTGCTTAAGCCTTTAAACAATCACTGTTCTGCTAATTTTTTAATCAACTTGTAATTACCAATAATTCTGCTTTAGGTCAATTTGTGATAGTTTTGGAAACCCTACCCTCTTACCTCTTCTCTCTTTCTCTCTCTCTCTCTTCTATCCTTTTGTCTGTCCCCAAGATTTTCATTAAAAAAAAAATACAGTTTTGAAGGGTTTTTCTTATGTTTACTGCTCAAAGACTATCAAATATGCTGATATCTTCTTATGGATGGGGTAATTTAAAAACACAGCTTTTTGTGTTCATGGGTTTATCTAAAATAGAAACAACTTTTGGAAAAATGAAGGAAATATCTTCAGGAAGTTTTACCAAACTGAGACGTCTTTAAAAATAAGAAAAAGAAAAGCAACTGAACTTAAACTATTCCTTTGTTTTCATCATGGAAGTTCATCAGCAGAATGGATGTAAAGAGCACTAAGAAGCCTGAAGTTTCCATTTGTCTCCAAATCCTTAAGATGAGCTATCTGCATAGATGTAGCATTTATTTTTCAGCAGCCTTATCTGAATGGTAATAAATTCTGTGATAAAACATGCATTAACATGGATAGTTTGTGTTGTTGGGCTCCGAAGAAAAACATTTATCATCTTTATCAGACCACAAAAGTCCACGCTAGTGAAGGTTACTTGCAAGGATAGTGAGCGTCTGTTCTTTCTGGACCACACTCAGAATGGCTGTGCTGCAGTTTCTGGACTCGTCTACATTCAGTTAGAGGAGGGCGTGCCATTTATTGTTCTCTGATGGCATGTTTCTAAACATGACACAATGCAAGGAGAAGAGATGCTCTAATGTCACAGATTCATCTTACCACTCATCCATCCATCCAACAAACATTTTTCAGTGCCTATTCTTTGTGCTCTAGTATTAAAACAAGAGAATGAAAATTTCTATCCTAAATCCATGTAAGTCTGTCATGAGAGTGCTTAATTTTCATAAATTCATGTTTTTCTGGACTTAGGTGTTAGTTCAACAATATGTGAGTGCGATGAACTCTAAATCTAGTGGATATGTTTATGTATGATATGTGTATGGATATGTATTTGTCAATCTACATACACATGTATCTACTATTTCCATAGCTGCATATAAACACGAACTCCACATACATATAAACCAAGTAGCTAAATAATATACTCTCTGGTCTTAGATAATCTATTTTCTTAGGTTATTGTGTATCTTGTCTTTGACTTACTCAGGGATTTTTATTCCTTCTTTTGAATAACTTATCTTTTGGAGATACCTTTATATTATTTGGAAACGTTCCAATTTTCCAATTACAAAATGGCGTCTGTCATCGTCGAAGGTTCTGTCATCAATGCTTGAGATACTGTCACAGTGTTGCACAGGATTTTCATTTTTCTATTGCATAGATTTTTTTAATTAATGTATACATTTTTATCTTTCAAAGTTGGTATATATTAGGCCTTTCCCTGATAATGTCTTAAAGTAATAATTTGTGAATGTTTTTACTAAGCGTCATCAAGATCTTAAAAAGAAAGAAGAAAATAAGAAGGATTATTTATATGTTAGTGCCAACATGGAAAGTAAAACACTAGTAACTTTTGGGATAAATTCTAAAAGCTACTTTAGAAAAAGAAATGCACACATAAAATAAATATTGTTCTATCCAAAGCTTGTCATTTTTATTGTAAATGTAATATATACTCCTTTTAAAAAATCAAACCATATAGAATTATAAAATGCAAATTCAACTGCTCTAGCCCACCCCTTATTTTCTAGGGGTAACCACTGTTAATGTTTTGATATATGTCCTTCTAGAAACTTTGTGCATATATACAAGTGTGTTTGTATATGTCCATGTGTATTAGTTTTATACAAATAGGACAGTAGTCTTAATGTCCTGTGACTATTTTTTCATTTTATTATACATTAGTAGACACCTTTCCATAAGTGTTTAAATAGATTTACCTCATTCTTTTGTAAATTACTACATATTCCATTGTGGGACTATACTTCATTAGTCCCTATTGAATGGGCATCAAGATTGTTTTTACTTCTCTATTTCAACGCATCAGTGAAGATCTTTTACACATATTTTTATCACTTTATGTACACATTTCCATAACTTTTAAAATTTGTTTTTTATAAGATATTTGTAATAAAATTTTAATGTATTTTCAGTGAATTAGATCATAGAGATACTATATTTCAGATCCTTTTCTTGGGAAAAAGAAAGATTATCTAGGAGTTTTATGTAGGAGTTTTTTAAAGAAAAGCATCTTTTGCAGGATAATTCCCCCCCTGCTTGGTTAGCCAAATAAATATGTGGCCAAAATGTATAAAGGAAAGTCCATCTTATTCCAATAAAAATAAAATGCAACGAGATATTTCTAAGATAATGTGAGATGTCTACAAGACGTCTGTGAGATACACTGATATTTGGGTTGCCTTGTTTTTAAACTTGAGGAATTTAAAGCAAATAGCGAAACTGGTAATGTTTGTCACTTTTTTTCGACACTATCCATGTTCATGCATGTTGCACCACAAAGGAACTTAATTATGTCATTGTGAAAAATAGGAAACAATTATGTTGGAAATTAAGAAGGACCACAATTATCTGCAAAAAAATAAATTTTACTATTTGTAAGGTTTGGTAGTTTGTTGGGATGCTTAGAAATTTGGAATCACGTGAAACATTCATTTTACGAGTCCCAGAAGTTCCCTAAGACCTTCTGCGTGTGGCACTAAGAGGAGAGGGGGTCCGACCTTTTGGTACAAGCAACAAGCTGTTGCCACCACCTTGAGTTTCTGCTAGGTGCTATTTATCCTACAGGCAGAACAGACAGGAAAACCATCAAAGATTACTAAACACAATCCGATCACAACCTGTTCTCTTTCGTTGTGCTTGCTTGGCTGTGCCTGTCTGGAAATTCCCTCTCCTCTGCCACCCAAGCCCCCAGCTCTTGAGGCCCAATCCCCCAGCTGAGCCTTTATTATCCAATCCTACCACCCATAAGACCCCTGGCTCCCCTAAAATACCATCCAACCCCTGTCACCTCCTCCAGTCCCTGGTGACTCTCCCCAGTGTGGTTTATCTCCACTCCCCTGATAACTCTAATTAGCTCCTCTTCACTGCAAAAGAGGAGGAGGAATGGGACGGGTGAAAAGCTCGCTCTGGCAGGTGCAAAACATCGGTGTTCCTTCCTGAGCTTCTGTCAAATTCAAGTACGTCTGCCAAGACATCGATCCAGCTCCCCCCTTATTAAACATTGCAGTTGTTTGTAACATTAGACCTCAGGCTGCCTGTTAAATTCATAATTATAGAAAAAGCTAGTGGCCTAAAGGAGATTGATCGGTAGGCTTCCTTAAGTGCGATTTTTTTTTAAATCATGCCAAAAACCATTTTATTTTTTAATTTCAGGAGAAAACTGCACATATGCCTTAATGTGAGTCATCACATTGGATTTCGTGCTTATCTTTTCATATCTGTAGCTGAAATCTATCCCAGTCACTGAAAGTAATTTTTCTTGCAGTTGGCTTTATTGTTTGGTGTTAGTGTCTATTATAAAGAGAGCCTTAAAATTCAATAATGCACTTTAAAATACTTGTGCCATTTAAGTAATCAACAGAATTAAAGAAGAGGTTACATATATTATGATGGAGACAGTAGAAAGCAGTATTAATAAATATATGTCGCCTCTAAATTTGGGATGGGGGGGTGTGTGGAAATCAGAGCCTAAAATTTAGAACAAGTAAAACATACCCCCCAAAAATGTAGCTGAGTTTCTGAAATTATAATAATTCTAAAAACTGATATCAGGAGCTTAAACATAACAAGTAATTAGTAAATGTTATCAAATAACCTAACTAGAATGTTTAAAATATTAAGTTACCATTTCTACTTCATTTTAACTGCATTTTCATTTTTCATGAAATCTATAAAAGGAATGCCACTGGCTAGAAACATAGTAAATCAAAACTATCACCAACAGCCAGTCTGAACAGTATTTTTTAAAATTCTTATAGTTTAAATATGATCTTTTCTTCTTCCTCTGGAAAAGTTGCAAATCCCATTTTTAAATTACACATCTACAATTATGTAATGAAACTGAAATAACTTTAGAGAAGCATTAATACATGGTCTGAACAAAATCAGAGTTCCAAAAACTGGGGCGTCTTCAGGATTGTGAAATGTTACCTTTTTGGTGCAAACCAATGATGCAAATCTTTAAAAGAGAAATGCGATAGAACTCCTTTATAACTCTGGTTTTGAGGTTAGGGCTAATAATCATTTGATAGACACCTGTTATGTGGGACTACAGTACTGCACATCCCTGTTCCGAGAGTCCTATTTTAGCTGACTCTATCCAAATCCAAGAAGCAGAGAGTCGCATAATGTGAGACTTGTAATTAATTGTCTGTTTGGAGCCTTACCTGAAGCCATCATATAGCACATACTTTAGATCCCTGTATATAAGTGCCAGTTGTAGAAGCATGTAATTATGTGTATCATCAACTATATTCTTTTTTTTTAGCTAAAAAAGTGACTGTTTTGAGAGTAACTGTATGACCTGAAAGGCAAAAGTTATTTTTTTAAATACACGAAATATTGCCACTGCCTT